TACTGGGTGGAACTGCATCCCTGTGTTAGACCATGGTTATTCTTAGAGGGAGGTGGGCTTCTTCTTTATTGGGTGGAACAGTATCCCTGTGTTAGCTCGTGAGTATGTTTAGAGTGAGGGGTTTCCTTCATGTGGAAGTTAAAGAATTAGACTTCAGTTTTTTGCCAGGTGGCAGTGGCACATGCCTTTAATCCCAGCACTCGGGAAGCAGAGGCAGGTGGATCTCTGGGAGATCGAGGCCAGCCTGGTCTATAAGAGCTAGTACCAGGACAGGCTCCAAAGAAACAGAGAAACATGTCCCAACCCCTCCCCCACCCCCAGAAAAAAAAAAAGAAAAAAAGAAAAAGAAATAGACTTCAGCTTTTTAAGATTTTCTTTTTGTCTTTCCTGTAGGTTTATTCACAAATTTAAAATCTTGGGAAAACAATTTGCAACGAAAGATGTGGAATTCTTGTTCAAGAGAAATCTTTACCCCACCCAAGGAAAGAGAAATGGTACTGAAGAGCTGTTCTTTGGGAGTGAGCTGTTTATTGTCACAGGGGAGGCTAACTGTCAGAAATGATGAGAAACAAATGTGAGAAGCTCTCTGCTTGGAGATCTGGCCACGTGGAACATTTAAAGAAGCATATGCTGTGTTTAAAAGCAGAGGAAGCTGCCATTAAAAAAATAGTGTAAGGGGAAAAAAAAAGAGAACATGTTTGCTTACAGACAGCAATTCAAGAACCCAGGAAAAGAGACAAGAGCGTGGCTAAGGCTGGTCTGTCACCTGGGCATCACCTCAGCTTCCCTCCTTTTTAAAATAATTTTCACGAATATCACAAACCAGTTTTGCTGGAGACATACGCTAAAAGTCTAATAACAGGAAATCCTCTAGAAATGGGATGGAATGTTCTGTTGATTTGAGATGCTTAGCTCAGCTTGACACATTCTCAGTCTTTCAAAAATTTTTTCTTTAATTCCCATAATACTTTTTGAAACTTTATGAAACTATTGCCATTTTGAGAAGGTAACTCTCTGTTGAGAGAGTGTTATTCCATATGTCATAGGTGGCTTAGCACACCCGTGTCCTCTACAGATGAGTTTCTACTGACAGTTTCCTTCAACTTGTGAATAACACAAAAGGTCTCCAGATGTGACCAAATGTTCCCAAGGGGTTCAGAGTGAGAAAGTGTGGTGGGGGGGATTCCTTCTGATATATTTATGTATCTTAGAGGATAAAGCATTAGTTGAGGATGTTCAAATAAGCTATATTTTATGTTTACAACCATATTTAACAAAGGTACAAACTCACATGGAGCCCACCTAAAAGGGCAGAAAAATAGTTCTTCCTTTTTCCTCGATAACTATGATTTCCAGTAGCCCTGTAGAACAACCAGTCTAGAGCACTGGAAAAATGATCCTAAATGGTCTTGGGTCTGAGTTCTATCACTTACCACTAGGGCCATCATAGGCTGGTGATGTCAGCTCTCTGAATGTCTGCTTTTATTATTCTTGTTCTTGTTGTTGACACAAAATGGAGTCAGAGCTAAATTCAAAGGATGTGGTAAAGATTAATTAAAATAATTTGTCTTAATCCTTCTACTTACTAATCCCTAATAAATCCTAAATTGTCATTACGTTGTACAATAATATCCAGGTTCATTGAAGTAGATGTGTCTTCCCTTCTGTTTAACCACTAAAGCGGTCATGAGTGGCAGATCTTGTTAACTGGAACACTTTGTAATTGCCATATAGTATGCGCTACAGATAGTTAGAGCTCTCTGCAGAATTTACTTTTGCTTGCCTCTTTGGACACCCTCAGGTTGGATGCACACTTGTCACTTCCATCAGCCTATGGTTTTGATTTCCATGGCGATGTCTGAAGAAATATCCCATATCAACTTTTGGTTACACTTTGACAAACCACAGATCTTCTTTGGTGAATACGCAACATGCTGAGCTGGGAACACCAAGGAATGGGCAAATACTGACAGAGAATGTCCCATATGGAACTCATCCCGTACCCTTAACCTACTCAAATCACTGGGGAGATTCATCTTACTCCAAGCATTTCATTAAATAGAAACCCACCAGCCACAGGAGATGTCATTGGGGTTCTTATCACAGGCAATAATTTATGTGATATAAAGATCAGGCATGTTTGGGATATCTCCTGCTCAACTCTGCTGAATTTTGTCCAGAAACTATGCTGCTTAGAATTTTATAAAAGGGAATCAATGTCTACCTTGAAAAATATTTTTTTATAAAAGTTTCCTAGAGACTAACAATGCTTATAGCATATAGAGGAAAGTCATTCTGTGTGTCTTCCAGACAAACCTGAAAGGGTAAGTGATCAAGTTAACAATTTATGCTTTCTCTATGGGATGTGGGCTAGCTATCTCCCCAAGAGTTGAGTTACCTGAAGAGGTGTTTGAAGGTTCTACAAGAAGAAGATGATACTCATCTACAGCCATCATCTCCACTTGGATTCAACATCTTCAGAAAGGCCTTATCTGGGAGCCAAAGGGAATCATCTAGGGTCTACAACTCCATCTTATCATGGACGACGAAGAAATAATCACTGGTCACCCTCCCTTCCACTTTAATCTGCAACTCCGCCATACCTATTCATCTGTATTTATGGATACCAACCACAAAGGAACAGAAAATAGACATATAACTCACACTAGGTCAGGCCACAAATATTCACCCAGCCAAGGAAGGATAGCATCTACCCAGTAATGAAAAACCACAAAGCTTAGGAAAGTGAAATTTGAACTCCAGCTTGACCATGTAAATATGGAGTGGCCATTTCTCAGAAGGGATCTCTGTTCTAGGTACATGCAGCACAGACCCACCCCTCCTTTTTGTCATTCCCAACAAGTAATCTGGATGCATAGGGTATCAGAATTTTCAGTCAGTTCACAAGCTGCTATAATCAGGCCTTGCTCATTCATCTACATCCTAGAGCTGGTTCTGGGCTACATGCCTTGGCTAAATAGCTACTTGTGTGGCTAGTTTTGGGTCAACTTGACATAAACTAGAGTCATTTGAAAGAAAATATTTCAATTGAGAAAATGCACCCATTAGTTGGCCTGTGGGGGAAGCCTCTGTTGCATTTTCTTGATCAAAGTTTGATACGAGCAGTTCCAGCTCACCTATTGGACAGTATCAACCCTGGGCTTGTGGTCTTGAGTATTATAAACATGTAAGCTTAACAAACCAAGAGGGACAGTAGAATCAAAAACCCGTTGCCATTGTTCTTGAGGTCTCAGTAGTCCTCCTTGTCCGCTATGTTCAGCGAGACCAGTTTTGACCCAGGCTTTTTCAGACCCAGGCCAGCTGGCCTTGGTGAGTTCCTGATAGAACATCCCCATTGTCTCAGTGTATGGGTGCACCCCTCGCGGTCCTGAGTTCCTTGCTTGTGCTCTCTCTCCTTCTGCTCCTGATTTGG